TGAGAAGGTACACACTGTGGAGGAAAGTAACACAACAGTGAGAAGGTACACACTGTGGAGGAGAGTAACACTACAGTGAGAAGGTACACACTGTGGACGAAAAGTAACACTACAGCGAGAAGGTACACACTGTGGACGAAAAGTAACACTACAGCGAGAAGGTACACACTGTGGAGGAGAGTAACACAACAGTGAGAAGGTACACACTGTGGAGGACAGTAACACAACAGTGAGAAGGTACACACTGTGGAGGACAGTAACACAACAGCGAGAAGGTACACACTGTGGAGGACAGTAACACAACAGTGAGAAGGTACACACTGTGGAGGAAAGTAACACAACAGTGAGAAGGTACACACTGTGGAGGACAGTAACACAACAGTGAGAAGGTACACACTGTGGAGGACAGTAACACAACAGTGAGAAGGTACACACTGTGGAGGACAGTAACACAACAGTGAGAAGGTACACACTGTGGAGGACAGTAACACAACAGTGAGAAGGTACACACTGTGGAGGACAGTAACACAACAGTGAGAAGGTACACACTGTGGAGGACAGTAACACAACAGCGAGAAGGTACACACTGTGGAGGACAGTAACACAACAGTGAGAAGGTACACACTGTGGAGGAAAGTAACACAACAGTGAGAAGGTACACACTGTGGAGGACAGTAACACAACAGTGAGAAGGTACACACTGTGGAGGACAGTAACACAACAGCGAGAAGGTACACACTGTGGAGGACAGTAACACAACAGTGAGAAGGTACACACTGTGGAGGACAGTAACACAACAGCGAGAAGCTACACACTGTGGAGGACAGTAACACAACAGTGAGAAGGTACACACTGTGGAGGACAGTAACACAACAGTGAGAAGGTACACACTGTGGAGGAGAGTAACACAACAGTGAGAAGGTACACACTGTGGAGGACAGTAACACAACAGTGAGAAGGTACACACTGTGGAGGACAGTAACACAACAGTGAGTAGGTACACACTGTGGAGGACAGTAACACAACAGTGAGAAGGTACACACTGTGGAAGAAAGTAACACAACAGTGAGAAGGTACACACTGTGGAGGACAGTAACACAACAGCGAGAAGGTACACACTGTGGAGGACAGTAACACAACAGTGAGAAGGTACACACTGTGGAGGACAGTAACACAACAGTGAGAAGGTACACACTGTGGAGGACAGTAACACAACAGCGAGAAGGTACACACTGTGGAGGACAGTAACACAACAGTGAGAAGGTACACACTGTGGAGGACAGTAACACAACAGTGAGAAGGTACACACTGTGGAGGAAAAGTAACACAACAGCGAGAAGGTACACACTGTGGAGAAAATTAACACAACAGTGAGAAGGTACACACTGTGGAGGAAAGTAACACAACAGTGAGAAGGTACACACTGTGGAGGAAAAGTAACACTACAGTGAGAAGGTACACACTGTGGAGGACAGTAACACTACAGTGAGAAGGTACACACTGTGGAGGAAAGTAACACAACAGTGAGAAGGTACACACTGTGGAGGAAAAGTAACACTACAGTGAGAAGGTACACACTGTGGAGGACAGTAACACAACAGTGAGAAGGTACACACTGTGGAGGACAGTAACACTACAGTGAGAAGGTACACACTGTGGAGGACAGTAACACTACAGTGAGAAGGTACACACTGACCCCGCCCCTCTGTGCTCTGACCCCGCCCCTCTGTGCTGTGCAGGTCAGTAAAACTGGAGCAGCTGGGTCGGTCCTGGACGAAGCTAAAAACATCAACAAGTCTCTGTCTGCGCTCGGGAACGTCATCTCTGCTCTGGCCGAAGGAACCGTGAGTCACACACACAGACACACACAGACATACACACAGACACACACAGACACACAGACACACACAGACACACACACACACACAGACACACACAGACACACACACAGACACACACAGACATACACACAGACACACACAGACACACAGACACACACAGACACACACACAGACACACACAGACACACACAGACACACACAGACACACACACAGACACACACACAGACAAACACACAGACAAACACACAGACACACACACAGACACACACACAGACACACACACACACACACACAGACAAACACACAGACAAACACACAGACACACACAGACATACACACAGACACACACAGACAAACACACAGACAAACACACAGACAACACACAGACACACACAGACACACACAGACACACACACAGACAAACACACAGACACACACAGACATACACACAGATACACACAGACACACACAGACATACACACAGACACACACACAGACAAACACACAGACTCACACAGACATACACACAGACACACACAGACACACACAGACACACACACAGACAAACACACAGACTCACACAGACATACACACAGACTCACACACACAGACATACACACAGACACACACAGACATACACACAGACACACACAGACAT